AAACCCTAAACCCTAAACCCTGAGGCTTGAAGCCGGACAGCGCTTCGAAGCCGTCTACTGCAACAGCAGGTGGGTTGAGGGTTTAGGGTTTGGGGATCCTAAACCCTAAACCCTAAACCTTTGGCTTCTTAGGGTTGAGTGGCTTACTGTAGGGGTCGAAATCATGAGCAACAGTACCCCGTTCCTAGCAACACATCGAATTCTTCAGGCCGCTCTATTTTGGGGGTTTCCGAAAATAGGGGAACCTTAATCTCGTACCCTAAATAGTAGGATCCTTTTTTCAGTACCCCAGAATAAGGCAATGAGCCCTTAGTTTCGGAAGCCCTCTATCACCGCTTTCAAACCCTAAACCCTAAACCCTAAACCCTAAACCCTAAACCCTAGGGTTCTCAACCCGGGGCTGCGAGCCGACAATCCGAACTTCTGAGCCGGAAAGCTTTGCGTCCATCATCTGGCCCGTACCCTGAACCTGAGACCCAAACCCCTAAAGCGTAGACCCTAAACCCCTAACTAAAACCCTAAACCGCAAGCCGAAAGGCTTAAATTTTGAGAGTTGGGCTGCTATCCGGTTCGGATGGGAGGTGGCTGGTGGGCTGAACGATACCTTGAACTACCAAAACCTGCTTTTTTGTAGGGTTTACGGTTTTAGGGTTTAACCGTCTACAACGACACACCACTTAATCTAGGACATTTTCAGGTGGGTAGTTTACCGATATAGGAGCCTTATAGAAGGTCTATATACCTTGTAGAAGCCTTATAGAAGCCCTATATACCCCAAACTCCCCACCTGTAGTTTCCTTTAACTTAAGATACAGTGGTTTTGGCCCAGTTTTACATCTCCCACACCTTGCAAAAATCCCGTGATCTACTTACGGCATACACTTTCATTTTATGATGTAGGAGTGAACTTACTATAGTTTACGGTATATTTCTTAGTCAAGGGATATTGGAGGTTTGGGCCTGCCCTAAACCCTAGACCTTAAACTTTCCCTAAACCGCAAACCCTAAACCCTCGATTTAGGGTTTAGGGTTTAACCCTGATTAAGAGATTTGGGAAGGCCTTAAAGGTTCCCTTAAGGGTCACGTTAAGGGCACTGCAAGGTTGTATGGCCGACAGTGAGCGGTTTAAAATCTGGTGGCGGGTTGGATTACCAAGATGCATTCACAGGCGCGTTGAGGGGTTCAGGGTTTCGGGTATTAGTGTTTGTTGGGTCCGGAGTTGTGCGCGGGCTTTGAGCGGGTGCCCTGCCCTGCCTCGCCTGCCTCGCCCTGCTCTGCTCGGCCCTGCTGTGATCACAGAAACGCAGACCTGTACCACGGAACGCCCGGCATGAAGTCCTGGTGCAGATGAGCGAGAAAGAAAGCGCGCCACTGGCCTCTGTAGAGTACTGAAAATTGTGCTGCTCCAAGGTAAAACTCCGCCGGTCCGTGGGAAGGCATGTGCTATGGCAGAGCGAGCGCAGCACGTGGCTTTCTTGTTTTGGGCATGTTCGATGTCCTTCCAAACGCAAACGCAATACCTTGCGCGGCGGCGAAAGGCACACATGCCTTGTTTTGCGATCCTTCCAACGATCTTCCTTTCTGTTGCCTGTCCAGCTAGCATAAGTTGCACACTTGACGTACGACGTATTCAAGAAGTACGATTCCGCGACGGGGCTGGGCCTGGGTTTTCGCGTACTGAGCGCAGCAGGGGTGTCTGCGCACAGCCCACGCTCCACAACAACCGTTATCGAAAACACGAGGAAAGTTAACGGTGTTGATCCCATATCCGTGTTGCCAGCCCCAGGCAACCATCACGGTCGATCGGTAACGCCGCAATCGCTGGCGTCATTGCCTACCGCTTTCACAGCGCCGGTGTGCTAAACAATCTCATCAAACAAGGGCCAGGAGCTGCAGACTTGTTTTGCAGACATGTGGCGACAGGAAAGCTTCGCAGCAAAGAGATCAAAGCATGGCGGAGTTCAGTAAACAGACCCTAAACCCTAAACCCTGAACCCTAAACCCTAAACCCTAAACCCTAAACCCTAAACCCTAAACCCTAAAGCAAGTTCAAGTTCTGAGCCGAAACCGAATGCTGCGACGACTGCAGAGAAGCACGGACCGTCCTCGGCGCCCTTGTGTTGCTCGCTGCTTGCAAAGCTATGATGTTTAGGGTTTAGGGGTTTAGGGTTTAGGGTTTAGGGTTGAGTGCATCTGATGGAGAAGCGCATCTCGTCCGCGGCGTTTGAGTCGACACGATCCAAGAACAAGAAAAATGCATCGAAAGCAGCATCAGCTAGTCTGCCAGCCATGATACAAAAGAGACTTTGTCGGACATCTTGGAACCATAGGGTTTCTGGGTTTAGGGTCTAAGGTGTATATGCTTGTAGGTCCTTGAGGCTGTTGAGGGTTTTTGGCTGTCAGGATGTTTGGGGTACTGGTGTGGAGACCCTTGCAGAGAAAGTTGCTTTAAAGCAGAATCTACGGTCAAGAATTAAGCCCCAACCACCCTGATCCCTGAAGCACCTTACTCTAACTCCAGCCGAAAACACGTTACCAAAACCTTCATATTTGTCGAAATCAGGGTGCGTTGTTGCCTGTTGAAAACCTGTTCTTGCCCCTAAACCCTAAACCTTAAACCCTAAACCCTTCAGGCTTCAGTATCATGTCGGGGGTCTTTCGAGCCTTAGAAGCACTGAAGCAATCCTGCTCACAAGGGAATCTAGAGCCCTAAGGGTCCAAGTAGTCCTTATTCATGGTTTTAGGTACCCAAAAAGGCCCCAAAGTCCTAAATTATGGGTACGTGGACCCTTAAGGGAGTTTCGTTCTGCTGGAGTTAAGGTGGGGTTTAGATGAGGGTTCGGCGATGGGGGCTGGGGTTCAAAGTACTCCAATCCCCAGCCCTGAATTAAAAAAGGGTTTGAACTGTATGCATTCGTCGCAAAGCACTCCACCAAATCCTTAGAATTAGAACTTATAGCGACTCTTATGAAAAACCTTTGAAGGAACCTTTCAAACAACAGTCAGAAACCCCAAATCCTAAACCCGTAACGGAACCCCCCAAAATCGCAGGCTACCGCAGCCAGCACAGTGACTTGACAAGCGGATCGGAGGTCCTGGGCGGAAGCTGACGCCGCGGTAGGGTTTAGGGATGACGATTCAGGGTTCAGAGCTTAAGACCTAAACCCTGAACCTTAAACCCTAAACCCTAATATAGAGATTCGGATTCAGGGTTTAGTCTATAGGGCTCTAGTGCGGGGCTGAAGGTTCGAGGATGCAGGGTTTTGGGAGGTCTTTTGTTCGTCGGAGATGGGGTTTAGAGTTGTAGGGTTTAGGGTGTATCATCACGACCCCCCCCTGGATTTGGAGATTTTTTCGGAAGGTAGAGATCAAACAAAAATGCAACAAGATAAATCAACCAGGAGATCCAAAAGCCCCAGTGTACACCAAACCCGAATCCTCTGGCCAGGCGACGTTTTTGGGAAGGTGGGGTTTAGGGCTTAGGGAGCAAACAGGGTTTGGGGTGTAGAGCTTCCGTTGATATTCGAAAGAAACGGGGTATCCGGACGTGCAATTTAGGGTGTGCGGTTAGTTGAGGATTTTTTCGATGTCAAAGATTTGTCGCATCATGTCTACATACCCTGCAGCATTTAAAAATTCGGGGTGCAGACTTCTGACCTGTCCAATGTGTAGCCTACACCCTACACCCGACACCGTGTCTCACAGAGCCATGAATTACACCCCCCGAAGTCTCTAGCAACCCCTCCCCGACAGTGTGTTACTAATGAGGGGGCACGGCTTCAGGGTTTAACGCCTTCCGTATAGTCGGTAGACCGAACATGGAACTTGCAGCGGTTATGTGGCTCGCAGGTGTGTGGGTGTTGGGTGTTGGTTTCCTCACTCGTAAAGGCTCCGTCAACATAGCAGAACCCTAACCCTAAACCCTAATATCAAGCGCTACGGGTTAGGGCATTCGTGGAGAAATTCATGTGGCCGCCTTTTGCTGAGGCCGAGGATGGACCGCGACCCAGTTAAGATGCAATTCGAACTACCACAATCTACTTGTCTGCAGATTCTTTTGATAAGCCCTAGTAATGGGATATATGGGCACACATGCGGCTCGGTTGATTGGTCGAAGGTAGCTCCTCTTCGTTCGTAGATGAGAAAGCTTTCACATTCAACTTCGCAATTCGGTTATACGTAATCATTGCTATGGTTACCTTATTCGTAAGTCGAGTTGCTAAGTCCCATGATCCATTAAGCAAGGTTTTGTCTTCAGCCACTGCGTCGCGATCCATCCTGCATGTAACCTTCAATACCATGACTGCCAACGATGCTTGTCTGACTTGCGATTGCAGAGAAAGACTGACATCACCAGACATTCAGCTTGGAATTGTTGTTCCGATGCATGTCTGCATGTCTGCGTCTACAATAAGTGGTTCTTTCACTCTGAATAGATACGCCATGATACATCATGACCCCTTTACCGTGGAGCCTGCCCCGAAAGCCTCTCATGCTCTTATGGGCTGCGGTCACGGTCGCCGCCCACGAGCACGACTGCGACGAGCGCAACAAGAACAGAAGCAGCAGCAGCAGCAGCAGCAGCAGCAGCAGCAGCAGCAGCAGCAGCAGCAGCAGCAGCAGCAGCAGCAGCAGCAGCAGCAGCAGCAGCAAGAAGCACAACAACAGCAACCACAACAACAGCATGCAACGAAATATGGTTGAAAGTAATGTTTGTTCAATACTCAGTGATCAGCATGCAGGGTTTCGGCATGGCAGGTTTAGCACACTTTGCCGGCGAGAACCTCCACAAGCCAGTAGTTTGAGTTGCGCAAGGATCCAACAAGAGGTTGCATCTGCGCGGGAGCAACTAGAATCTCGAACGCCGACGCTTGTTCCTTCGTGGTTCCCAAACCCTATACGAAAAGTGCCTAAATAACTACCTATACTGTGTTGGGGGTTCCTTGTTATTACTGCAGTATACCGCAAAACCCTAGTCTAATTCTTAAGGCCCCTGCATTATGCCCTGGATCCAGACACTCTTGGTTGAAGCTACCTCGTTCCCTGACCGCCGCCGTGATTTCGGCTTGCAGGAACGTCCAGTGCTCAGTTCGGGAAGGCCTTTCTTCGTGATCATGTGCTTGCGACCCGGTATGGCTCTGCCATACAGTGACCAAGCCATCCCGGATGCCAAAGAAGCACGGAAGCAAGAGGCGATCCCTTTGCCCTAAACTTAGGCCTTTTCCAGCAAGCCCAAGGTGCCCCGTAAACCCTAAAGCCCTGACCCCTAACCCTAAACACAAAAGACCCTAAACCCCAAACCCAAAACAAACAAAAATCCTGAACCCTAAACCCTAAGCAGAAGAAACCCCAAACAAAAAACTTTAAACTCTAAACCCTAAACCCTAAACCCTGAACCCTAAACCCTAAACTCTAAACCCCAAAACCGAAAAAGCCCCCAGTCCTCGGTAGCCCTCCCAGGCCCCTACCTCTTCATCCGTAGGCCATGCAGAAGCCGACGATGGTAATAGGGTTTAGGGTTTAGGGTTTAGGGTTTAGGGTTTAGGGTTTGGGGTTCGGGGTTTAGGATTTGGGGTTTAGGGGTTTAGGGTTTAGGGGTTTAGGGTTTGTGGTTTAGGGTTTGGGGGTTTATAGGGTTTAGGGTTGCAAGTATTGCACGGGGTGGTGGCTTCAACCTCAAACATACATCGTCATCGCATGCGCTTATCAGAGCATCATGCCATGTCAACACGTATTTTGCCAGTTGTCAATGCATGCGTTCACCAGACCATCCGTGCCGCCTCGGAGCAAAACCGTACCGTCGCAATTGCATCATTGGTCAGACCTTGGCAACCCTAAACCCTAAACCCTAGGAGGCTTTAAGGCAGGTGTCACGTACCGGAGCCTACTTCGTATCAACCTTGACCATCTGAGTAGGGCTGCCTTGCGGAGGAGGATGTAAAAGGGTTTGGGGTTTAGGGTTTTAGGGTTTAGGGTTTGTGGTTTAGGGTTTAGGGTTCAACCCTGAACCCAAAACGAACATCTTTCGTCCGTTCCTCCAGCCGCAATTGCACAAAACCCTAAACCCTAAACCCTAACCCGAAGCCCTACACCCTAAAATCCCCCTGAAGCTGCAAAGCCCTACAGTCAACACCCCGAAGTTCAAACTTAAAGCTCTCCTTTCGAACCTTCCTATCACTCTTCGGGGAAAAAGACAGGCCTTGGAAAATGTGAAGGCTCGGGTTTAGGGTTTAAGGTTTACTGTAAGTTACGTGTGTAATCCCGATATTGACTTGTAAACAGGCGGGTTGCGGGGTTCCCTGGATGCAGGTACCGGCCGTACTCAAGGCTGATGTGTCTTGGCTAGTGGAGGTGATGTCGGACGGACTGGACCTCCACGAGCTGGGACGCGTGGGAATGACATGCAGGTGCCTCCGCGTCCTTTAGGAGACCTCTGTCGAACAGATGTGGGGGTTTCCGAAAATAGGGGACCCTAATATAGTACCCTAAATAGTAGGATCCTTATTATAAGGACCCCAAAATAAGGTACCCCTTATTTTCGGAAAGTCCCATGTGGCTTGGGGTGCTAGGATTTTGTTCTGGGTTGCCGCAAAAAAGCGATGCAGCCGAAGCCCGATCGGCCCGAAGCACCCAACCCTAAACTGAAATCTTCGGGTTAAGGGTTTAGGGTTTAGGGCCTGAAACCGGCCATCCCCTGAAACCCGAGAACAAACCCATAAGTCCTTAAAGCCTACACCCCGAAATCCTTCTAAAGCCCAACCCGCGAAACTGTCCCCCTAAACTGCAAACCCTAACTCAAACCTGTCTACCCTAACTTTTGGGGCTTCTTTGAGTCCTGACTTTTTATTTGGGCTTCCTAAACCCTAACCCTTGCACCTGAAACCCTAACACCCGAAACCTTCAACCATAACCCCCGAAACCCTAAACCCTAAA